TAGTTCTCAAGTTTGGCAAATAATGCAAATACCGGAAATAGTTAAAAAAGAAATCCTGAACGGTTCAATTAAATTCGAAAAAAAAATATACGTTTGATCCTTAGCTAATCAAAATAAAAGCAAAAATATAAACAAGCATATTTTTTGAGTACATTTAAATACAAAAAAATATTGCCATAGTCCATTTAATATATTCTTTGAGGAAAAAAACTGCTATTAAATTGCATAGAGTTTTAATATTATGTAATCTAATGGAATATTAGAAGAAAATATAATCGCTTTTAAAAAAGGCAATGGATGAATTTGCATTTTTTTTTAATATCGGCTATTTTATCAATATGCCACGCCATTAAATAAACTTCAACATTATAATATTTTATTTTATTTATATATATATATATATATGTATGTATATGTGTGTGGGTGTGTGTGTGTATGTATATTATGCGATCAATGCGATGAAATCGGTATTAAATAAAAATGGGAAAAAATAGTTAAAATTTAGCTATACCTACATTTTCTTTTCTCACGAAATAAAGGCTAGCATGTTTACTTCCGGTCGGGTTATGGTTGAACATCATGTGATTTCCTCCAAAAAATAATAGTACAAATTATAACCTGTACATTCGGTCTGTATATAGTGTATACACTAAAATTTCATTGACGCATAGCAATTTAGAAACTTATTACGGTCAAAGTGTAATTTTTTTCTTTTCTTTTTGCTTTTTCTTAATAAAAAAAAAAAGACTTAAAAAAAGTTACAGCGCGTCGTAATTTTAAGATGAAAAATATGTAAATATGTTATTGTTTTTGAAGGGAAGGGGTGAACTTTTAAAATTTAAGGCCCAATAAAGTACTTTTCAGGTACGATTTATGATCTATGCTCAGCGGTTTAGGAGAAGTCGTGGGTCCAAACAAAAATAAAAACACATCATTGTAAAAATAATGTCTTCTTAGCTACCCATCGGAGCTAAAAAAAAAGAAATAATTTATATCAAAATAAAAATGATAAAACTCACACTCTAGGGTCTCGTCGTGTGGTGCTCCAAGTAATATTTTCATGTTAAAAACTTTTGAACTATTGACGCGAATGCTAAAGAATTGCCTATTCAATGCGCCGGATTACTAGTTTTGGACGGTTTTCGTATAAATACATGCGATCAAAGCACTTGGTAATGTTTAACTTTTGTCGACTTTTTATCGAATACATTCCAACTTCGTCTTTTATGTACAATAAAAAAGAAGAAAAAAAAGAACATTCGCATTTAAAATGTATTCTTTTCTACCGAACTCGTCTTCGGATTTTGAACTTTTTTAAATTAAAAATAACATAAACCGAAAAAATATTATTTTGTACAAAAAATATTACACGAGTCTTATTTTTTTAAATTTTTATAAATTTCTTTGTACCTAATCAATAAAATATGCCACGTTTTATGATGCCATTACAATACGGTCTAAATCGTATACTATATTAACACTTATTAAACAATACACTTATTTGTCACTATAGAATTTCGATAATACATTATTAACTGTTCAGCAATTTAAATTACTTACAATATTTTTCAAATATTGAAAATTAATTGTTTTAAATATATTTTAAGTAAAATAATTAATTATGCTGAGTGAATTTCTGTAATAATGTTCCATTAGTTTTTAATGTTTTTTTTGTGGCAAGTGTCTTCTCCTTAAAATAATCATATCGCTATAGACTTTTTAATTTTTATTAAAAAACTAGTCCATAGTTTGATTAATAAAAACAAAGTGTTTTTTCAAAACTATCGACTGGTCGACTACCAGTTTTGAATTATTATTTTGCAAGTTGATTAAGCGTTTTAAAGTAATTGCATGTGCAATGTGTGTGAAATAAAGTGCACCTAAATAGGTAAACCTATAATAATACATCTAGGTGTTTTTTCTATACTTGAGACATGAAAGAAAACAGCAGATGTTGATGAGTATTTTTTTTTAGAAAACTTGTGTTAATGAAATAATTAGGTTTTTATTAGAGAAGCAAAATTTTGACGGAGAATAGAATAATTTTGTATGCGACGTATTTGACAATTACTATGAACACTTATTGCCAGAAAGTCAACAACAAAAAAAATCTACTGGGTAGTAAATAGCCGACTGTAGACAATATTAAGATATTGTTTCGTTTTGATGATGTTTACTGACTGCTGTAAATAGTCTGTACAGCGTTGCAATGTTTATGCGAAACGATGATTACATTTTTCATCATAGTCAAAAAGCCAATGGTGTTATATTGTAACAATGTCATTGTAAAATAGACAACGATAATAATTTTCTCTTAGAGCGCCTTGCAATCTTAATCTGATGTAGTTAAACGTTAAACTTGCTAGTATGTTTATTTAGGTACAACCGAAGTATGATGCATATTATATTTTAAATGATGTAGCTCTGATAAACGAAAAAGGGTACAATAAACTTGTTATGTGAGATATTGTTTTTTAGACATAATAGATACTCGTGTAATTTAAGAAAAGTATTAAATGCTTTTTATGATTTGCGATTCGAAAACACAGCAAAGAATAGTCTGTTGGATGGTATTGTATGTTTTTTTGAATTGCTTATTCGATTGACTATAATTAATTTCCAAAACATCCTGGATGGGGTCTTCGACAAATGTCTTAGCAATTATTATTATTATTGTATAAATTATTAAAATTTACTTTAATATCTGATGGTATCTACTGTATGTATTTAAACTTGTTGTTGTTTACGGAATTCTAGTAAAAATATTTAATACACATTGTAAAATCTGACATTTTAAATATCATGTCCATAATTATAAGTGTATTATATGGACCTGAGTTATGAACATCTCATTATAATATACTTGACGTACCATTAAAGTATGCGAGTGATGGATGAGAATTTAAAATAAAGTGAACAAGTCCTTGTAGTGAAGTAGCGTGTTTTACTGTGATTACAGTTTGTATAGTTATTGTTTGTTTTCATTTTTTTGATGGGAAATTGACAGTGAAATGTTTATACCCGAACAAATGTTATTATGTATATTGTGTAATTATGTTATATTATATATGTTTATACTACAATTTTCTTCATATTTAAATGAGGTTAATTAAAAATAAGTACTCTACGTAAATACAAAAAAAAAAAATAAATAAATATAAAAAGCTTATAAGTAAGTACTTGCATATTTTTTTATTTATTCAAAATAATGAGAATTCGAAATAATGATTAAATTTAGGAGAAAAACTTGCTGGAAAGAGGAATGACCCACGTCGTTTGTTATTGTATTCGAACGAATTTACCATGTTAGAACTATAGTTTTATGGCAGTTTTCGAGATGACTAGCCGATCTACAGCAGGTGGGCTGACAAAAAAATTGTTTATCCGAAAATTCGAGCGATACAGCCGCCGCCGTGGTTGAGTACTTTATTGGTAAGTACACAACAGCAGCGGTGCTGTCAGCACTGAGTTATGCAGTAGCGTGTTATTGAATTTTGGCGCTAATCAAAGTTAATGTTAATCAAAACGTTAAGGGGTTCATTCGCCATGACAGTTTAGACGAAATACACGGCGGGTATACGCGAGGGGAGGACTCGTAAGGAGAGAGCGGTGGTCCAGATAACTTTCCGTTTAGATCATTTACTGTCGGCCGCAGAAATTTGACAATAAACAACGGTTTGCCGGACGGTGAAGTAAATCTCGTCGTCCGGAAACCGTGCCACGTCCGCAGGAAATCTTTTATGCAAGCCCGAAATACAATTCAAAATGTATACATACTTTTTATATACATAAAAAAAAAAGTACATAAATATATATATATATACACACATTAACCGTATAACAACGCGGGTCTTTCGCAAAATCGGAATGATTTATGTATCCTTCTCAACACACACACACACACACATATTATATCGTTTCACATTCATAAGGCTTTATATTTAGTGACCTGTTATTATTGTAGTCGGCTGTTATTTTGATTATGCACTTGCACATTTCTCACTCGGAGCTCAATGTCCGGGATCCACTCCTGTGGGCTAGAGACATTTTTTATATCTATTGCATGTATGTCGCCTGTTAACGTCCGATAAGAAACAATAATAAAGTATTTTTCTTTTCGTCGTGGACAAATCCCCTTGCACTGCGATAGAAATGTTACAGCCTCGGTTGTAGTTCAATTGTAAACGTGCTATAACCGCCGAGTGGATTTTCAACATGTAATATACGGATACAGATTCGCAATTTGAACAGTTATGATGCATTACCGTCGTGCAAACGGTATAAATAACGTTATAATATACACTCCTAAGTAAGAATTATGGTCGCACCTATATACATATAACAATAATAATACAATTATTACCTATACTAGAAATATACTACTTTTGAAAACACTTGTCAGCAGAAAATTCGAATGAATCTCCAAACTGAGTACATTGAAATATTATTACAAATATATATGGCAAACGCTTGAAACAATTGTAGAACGTTTTTTAAAAAAAAAAGTTACATATTTACTGTTTAATAATTTTTTCGTAAAATGTATTAAGAAAAAAATGTTTAAACGAGTTTTTGCAAAAAACGTTAAAAATACATTTTTGTACAAAAGTTCTGAAACGAAAGTTACGAGGCTTACAGACAACTTTTGTATGAAAACTTTTAAAAATTTACTCGGTTCATTTACATGAGAAGCACATGAATCTAGCACAAGTTATTTTAAATCCTTTCATTTAAAATTCGCCAAACCCTCTCCGCTCGTAAGAGCATAATTTATGGAGGGGCTTAAAAAATATAGAAACACTGTTTCACATGTTTCCGTTTTTATCGACCACCTGATACGAACAATATACGTATAATAATTTTTAAAAATTATCTTTTTGATTGTTTTTATTATGTTTAAGGAAATAACAATAACTTGTTTGAAAACAAACTTATATTTAAAAAACAGTGCGTTTTTCGGAAGCCCTTTATAACAGAAGTAATTAAAAAAAAAACCGTACCTTTTTTCGACGCTTTGAAGCTGTCCTGTGGCGAAACATATTCTATGTCGTACACCAACGTCGTATTTGGAAGCAAGATTTGGTCTTTGTTTATTCTGTACACTGCGTATTTGAATGCGACTTCTGTAGTGCTGTCCTTGTCCTCTTGAGTAAATATTGCTCCTAAGAAATACATTAAAATTCTTATGAGTTAAGTGAAAAACCCGATCAAACGCGTCCGATACTACATTATACAAGACCTTCTCAATTTTCTCAATCCCTTTTTTTTACATTTTAATTTTATCAGATATTTAATGGATTTAAATGATTAAAGAAATATTTTTGTTTTTTTAAAAAAATAATATAGAAAATTAGCCTCCAGGTCGTTGGCCGAAATTGGAGTGTTACAATTAAAACGTTGCATATAAAATTAACGGATAGCATATAAATTAAAATTGTTTTTTTTTGTCCTAAATAGTTTTATACAGGTTGATGGCTTTGCGATAACGTTTAATGTGTTGTAGATATTTAATGGTTCGTTGTTGAAACACGTTTGTGTTGCAATTTGGTTAATGCAGCTTAGCGGATTATTAATGATTGAGTAAAAACAACTTTACGCCATTATTTATTAAAAATATTAGCGAAAGCTTCGATAAATAACAACGTTTCATAGTAAACTACAAAACTAAATTTACAATAATACATTATAAAAAAATATCATGGGTTTTCAATTGTTTTTTATGTACTCTAAAACAATCTTTAATAATTTAATTTAATAAAGGTTTCAATTAAAATTTGATTAGCTAAACAAATTACTTCAAAAATATCTGTGAAGTAAAAACCTATTCACTCTGTGTATGTTAGGTTTTTTTTAAAACATAATTATTTTAATCGAATTCAATCAAATGTTTAAATTTCAAGAAAACAAAGATTTTAATTTTAACTTTTACAGGTTGTTTCTAAAAATAACTTTTATATTAATTATAAGTTTTATTTTAAAATAGTAGTTTAACACAGTAGTTCAACAATAGTTTCTGTAAAGTGGCTGTTTTTAAACATAAATTTGAATCCTATAATAAAAAAAATGTGAGCAATAATTGTGTATATAAATATATTTGTAAATTTACATAGCGCTATTTATCCGCATGGAAATGAATTACTAATATACATATGGGCTAGAAACAATTGTAATTTATATGAAAAATTGAAAGTAAATTATTTAACCGAGCTATTTGTACCGTATATTTATTTTACTCAAGAAAATTGGTCTGAGTATAGAATAAAAACTTTTGTCTATACAATTTCTCAAGTATAAGTAGCCTGTTAAACTTTAACTTTTATTTGAAAGCTAATGGACAATAACGTTTGATTTCCAAAACTTTCATACTAATTTGTTTTAATGACTTATTGTTAGAACTTTTGTACGTAAGTTATTAAACAAATACTGCTCCAAGTAATTTGTTTTTTAAATATTTGTTTGATAACTATATACAATATTTTAGAAATTTATATTTTTAACAAATTTCTTTCTGCGGTGAAAAGTTAGTACAACTATTGTGGTAACTCTAAAATTAAATAATTTTGATTTTGTGATGTTGATGATTTTTTTAAATCCAATTAGCACTTAAAACTAAAACGCCGAATTTTCGATTTGACATTTATTTGATTTGTGACCGCAGATTTTGATATTAATAGCGTCTTTTTTCCAGATACAAACAAGTCGACGTTTTATTTAAGCCGTATTCACAATTGCATCCAAATTAAGATACCAATAATCTTACTAGCATTACGGGTGAGATTCATTAAAAACCACTAAAACGTCTTAATTTAGTCGGTAGACTTGCAAAAAAGTACTCGACGGTCGTAAAATTACCATAATGTGTAGTTTTATGTGTTCGGCTTTGTGGGGTATAAAACGTTACAAGACATTTTATCCCATTTTATTAGCCGCTGAGATTATAATAAGTCTAAGATCTGAGAACAGTCAAAAGTCACTGCACACCACAGTGACCGATTTGGCTAGTTCGAATTTCAACGTGCAAGTTGGATTTTCAGAAACCATCGCCGGATTACAGAGGTCTATTTAACATCGCAATTATTATTTACATCATTTCATAAATCATGGCAGCCGCGCTCGCAATCAAAAGATCCTTTTAGATCCTTTTATTGCAACAGCTTAAAATCATTATTCGAAATTCGAAAAAAAGCTTTTTTGGCAAACACTTTGCGAAAACACAATATTTCGGTTGACAGGCAGACAGATGAATTGTTTTGCTGGGACGTCTAGTGTACATTTGTTCCAACAAAAACAAAGTGCAGTCAATTTAATTCCAGCAGAACTAACGTTCGGAGTAGCAGTTCACAACTATTATTATTTTTCACGACATGTATACGGCAAATTCAATACAGTGGAAGTTCATTCGAACGAAATACAAGTTTATTTTAAATTATTATTATTATTTTTTTTTTTCGTAACCAGAAATGAACTCTACATTGAATATATATTATTAAATAATACGTTATACACAATTGCGAGTCGTCGACAAAAGACATTTTTCTACTTGGCCGTTTTCGTTTTTCACTATTTCGAGTCAAGAGTCAGCACACAATGATGTATTCATCCACAGCCCGCACACGACCATTTTAGATAATACAATGATTTACTTTGTCTCGATCCCCGTAGAATAAAATAAATCAATTCTGTCCGTTCCGGAATTCACCGAGTTAACAATATTTATCGAAATTGTTTGTCGTGGCACCCGACTTGGTTATTTCACGTTTATTTTCGGCACGTGCTAAGTCGAGTGAATACCTCCTCAAACCTTTTTCTCTATTTACTATTTTATTACTACTATTAGGAACCACTTGAATGCGTAATAGTAGCGTTTTTTTTTTTTTTTGGAAAGGTAGGAGCTACAAAAATAATGTTAAATTTGTACTTGCAAAACATTACTTACCACATTTAAACTTGAATGACAATTTTTAAAAAAAAAGCACAAAGCCACTCTAGAAAGCATATTAAAGAATTATTTGTTTTTAATACTTATTTTCTTCGTGGTCTAATTTCTATATCTGTTACTTTCTATACCCAACTTTAGAAATCGTCCAACATTCCACCTCTCTAGGATATTAATATACAAAGATATTTATTCCCCTGCTATAAACAGTGTATTAGCTTCATGTAATAATATCAACAATAATGACCAGTCAAGCATTCTTCACGCTTCCAAGACACCTCCAAACAATAATATTGTTTGTCTTCAAACAATATTTTTTCACCTTTGACCCAATCTAATTCTAGAAAAATACGCTTTTATTTCTTCTTCCTTTCTCTCCAATACCCTATCTTGATTCATTTCCGATTTAAAAGTCATTATTAACTCTTTAATTAGTTTAATTAGATTAAGAATGGGGTTACTTCACTGCAAATAGAACCCCACACATGTTTGTGTATTATGTATGTGCAGTTCGTGTTTACATTATCTTTTTGACTAGGGTTTAAAAAGATAAATATTTCATTAGTATTAAAGTAAGAATTTGGCACGGTAATAGCTGATGTAACAATGTATGACTGATAAATGCAGCCATTGCGGATTTCCGTTTGTCGGGCTTCAAGTGTTTTATTTTGTTTTGCACTCAAGTTAAGAACCGTGTCTAATTGACAGAGATAAGTAAACGAACATGCCGTCCGTTGTCTCATTTATTGAATTCATAAATGAATACTTAAAGCGTTTTAATAATTAACACACGTTCACTCATAAACGTAACGCGTTTGTCTGAATCGTTTTGTGTCCGTGCTTCTCCCGTGGAACCGGACTTGCCTGTTTGAACTTTACATAGTTAACTGGAATAAATAAATAATTTCGTTTTGCAGTAAAGTTAGTTATAGTTTTCTAAAATTGTATTTTGCAGACGTAACGTTCAATTAACTCGACGATTTAATCTTGTATTCGCTCGGCGAGACGATATTTTCTAATAACGTTATGAATATTTTATTATTATACTACAGAGGCTGATTACTAAAACATGATTGAAGACTATGCCCTAACGGTCCACTGAAATACAATTCTAAAAACAACAAACGAGTCTATCAAATATAAGCTAATCTGAGCTGAATAATTATTTATTTTTTAAACAACACACAACGTGTTTTGGATGGAAACGCGTGGATTTATTTATTTATATTTAGTTGTACGCACTCTGATCGATTGGGATTACTGACAACGGGCATAAGAGGTAAAAAAATTGTTCGCCTTCGAAAATAAAATAAAATGTTTCTAAATTTATGTTGCCAATTTTTCCTGGGGCTGTTAAAGGTATTACACGATACGATCAAAACGTAGTCGTGCTGTAATACCAACGACTTGTTTTCTCGCGCATGGAAAATTGATTAAAATCGATAAAAAATATTTACTATTTTAGAAGCTTGAATAAATTCATTTTAAACGAACGATATAAATATAGATGTTATTTTGACATGTTTACTATATGAAAAAACACAAATACTTAATGTGCACGGTAAACATATTAATTTAGACTTTTTTTTTTTAATAATATTATAATATCGAGTAAAGATTCATTCCTATTAACAAATTGTTACAGGCATGCCTAATACAGTATTTATTACAGTATTATATAGTAAATATAATCCTATTAAATTGTAGTAAAATGTAATTATTGTATTTTTAATGCGAACTTGATGATATATTGTTGTACACTAAAGGACTCTTATTTGCATATTGTTTTCCTTTCATTTTCCAAAATATAATTTGTGTAAACACAAATACAAAAAGCCACAAACAAATAGATCAATAAGTAATAACGTCGAGGAAACGGTTTTTTTTCCTATTGTGATATTCATTTGTGAAAATATCGTATTTCCAAATAGTTGTACGGTAATCATATTATCTCGTCGAAGCCACACAAAATCCTACAGAAAATACAAAAGGGTTTCGAAATACAGTTATTCCAAGTTGTCTTTGTCCCAGTTTTCGTATACGAATAGAATAGCATCCAACTGAATATATTTGTATTAAACAGCCAGTACTTGCACATCGTATAATTATAATATAGTATGCATATAGAAATCTATAAAGCCATTTTATCTTTCTTATCAAAAAAAAAAAAGGATATGTATCTAAATACTACTGTTAAAAATTAAGCGAGAAAAGTAAGATTTTCCA